TCAAGTGATAACATGGCAGGGCTCCTCCAGAGCCACAGGAAGACATTACACAACTGTTTTCACAGGATGCCAAGTACTCCCCATTACTAGTGAACAAACACTGACGTGTTCCTTTAAACTACATTAATAGTTGCATATTCAGCATTTCTTGTACACATGGTAAAAAACAGGGTTTTTTATCCGCAGTGTGTCTTCACATTGTTATGTGGTGGCCTGTGTAGCAAGGTCAGGAGACAGACATCTCCGAGTGAATTTCCAGAAGCATTCTCCCCTAAAATAACTTCCCGCGTCTCTGTGTGTACCAAACGTAGCCCGCCCCGATCTGACCACCACCTCATCCTGCTCACCTCAGGACCGTACTTCCTCTGGTCACGTTACACTTTGGTTCCTTCATTCTCCAACATCAACAAGGAAAACCTGCACTTTTCACTGTAACCACAAACCCACCTTTGAAAATAACAGGGACTGAGATGTAAAAACAGCTGCCTGCCAACATCAAGAGCAGCACAGAGTAGTTTCATATGCTCCAATGAGGTAAAAAAACAAACAAAACAAAAAAAAACCCGTTTTGCATTTTGTATGCATGTGTGCTTTTTGACTTCACGAGGTGACACAACAAACCATGGAGGGAGAACTCCACCCTGTCAGAGAAAGAGGATGTGCAATGGAGAGAAGATAAAAGAAGGGTGGAAGGCAGTATTACACCAGCACTATGTTGTTCTTAGCTCTCTCAGTGCTCTATTCCACCCTCCTGCAGGGCATCACACACACACACACACACACACACATAAAAAACACAACAGACATTTCAATGACAATACAGTTCCACCAGTGGGAGCAACAAAGCACGGTGACTACACTGCATTTGTCATAGAGGAGGAGTGGGAACACTTGAGGAATCATCTTCTTTACTTGTTGGGCCACAAAACCAAATGAGCAGTGTGACTTCAGAGGCAAGCTGGTGTCTAGCAGCCCTCAGGGGAGGGTGGTTTACTGGTGGGGGTCTGTGGAAAGCTGAGGAATGAAATGTGTGAAATGAATTAAGCTTCATTCAGCAGACTAATCACCTTTATTTGGCTGAGTATGTTACACACAAGGAATTTGTTTCCGGTACAGAACTGACACAGCCGTCTGCGGTGCCAACTCAACCAATGAATCTAACCATCGGGTGCAACTTGGGGGTTTAGTGTCTTGCCCAAGGACACTTTGACATGTGGACTACAGGCACTGAGATTCGAACCTCTGGCGGGGAGACGGCTGCTCTACCCACTGAAACACGGTCACCCCAGTAGAAATATTACTCGAAATCAGCTGCTGGGTCTTCAGTTCTAAGATATCAAAAATCTTCCCAAAAGAATATGCAACTACACTGATCATTGCTGTGGGTATCCTTGATGATAGAAGTATTAGAAATAATCCCATGATGCTCATCAAGCAGTCTAGGACATTGATTGAACAACACTGATGCATGATAATGACATTGATAAAAAGTCCTTTGAGGGAAGACAAGGAAGCAGCCAAATTTTTGTTTGGTTGAGGAAATGACGGCCAGCAGGAAAATAATTATTCAAACTGTCTGTTGAATGTTTCCATCACAGCTTTCAGACAAGCTCTGTAGTCCAGCTTTGACTTACTGTACTTTAACATGAACATTAGCAGCATGTTTCCTTAGTGTCTTATCATCAGACTCCAGAAAATCACTGCAACCAGCCAAGAAAGTTCCTGTACTTGACACTTTATAAAACCACTTATTATTCTCTTGAAAGTTCAGTGTAAATTTATAAGTGCAATTTTTGTCCACTTGGGGGCAGAGGAGACAAACTGTAAACACACCACTGGCATTGTATCACCTGAAAAAGCTGGAACTTGTTGGCAAACACCTATTTTCACATCTTGCAACATAAGTATTCATGTGTTTGTGTGCACCTGTATGTACAACGTAAGCCTAATATTAAATTCAACAGAGACCGTTGTTACAGGCCAGGCCTTCCTCTTTAAGACACCACAGTGCTGCCCACACTGATTGACAAGTGAGCCTTGAGATGTGGAGTACACCTCTCCACAGCAACAGCACTCCAGTCCAACAGCATGCATGGAAACACATCCAAGTGTGAAGGTTTGTCCTGTCGCACGCCACTGACTGGATGTCGACCGCTGAGGAGTCTGATAATGTAACAGAGTGAAGTCCAAATCCAACAGGCATGTTTCTGCTGAGGCTGACTCAGAGCCTGTTACTGTTACAGCTGAAGCTAAAGTCAACACGACTCAGCTCAGAGGAGGCTAGTGAGCAAACTAATGTACTGAAACTCAAAGAGGCTGAAAATGCACGATGCTTGGATTGTAAGCTAACTTGGGTTATAGAGACAATTTTAACAGATGAGTAGGAGTTAATCTCTTTTTTAAAAAGTATATTACTACCATCATAGGTAATTCTGGCACTCCTTGTTGAGGCAGTTGGGGCTAACTGTAAGCTTTAAAAACAGACGAGCAAGGGTACGTTTGTGTCCTCAAACTCTGAGAACTGCAATTTGACTTGTGTACAAACAGATCTAATGAGACACGCTGTCTAGTCCTAAATTTTCAGTTAAAAAGTTCAAGCGTTTATCTTTATGGTATCTTAAGAATAGTTCTTCCTCCTCGCCTTGTGTGTTTTCATTCCTGTTGGTCTTTTGGAAGAATAACTTTTTTTGTTCCAAACAAATGCTGGTCAACGTCTGCCAATCAGCAGCTCAGCTTCTCTGACTGGGCACACATAAAAGAGGAGTCCTGCAGCAAGAAAAACATTTGATCCAAAGCAGGAAGCTTGTATCTACCCAGAAATCAGTGGTTGCAAAACATCATCCAACTCTGATACACAAGTACATATGTGGGAGTGGAATGTGGGAGGTGTCCAGTTAATATTAGGAGGAGGAAATGATTTCACATACATATACTGTGGTTCTACAAGGTTTGTGTTTGAAAGGCGAGTTGAGATTTACAACACTTCAAACACTCAGACATACACTTCAAACACATCAGAACATGAAGTCCTTGTTTTCCAAGTTGTTTATAGCTCCTGTTAATACAAAATAAAGGGGTTTTCAGCACTTTAATTACTCTCAGAAACTCTCCTGCAGATTTATTTTCTCTGCATATCTTTTATTTCTAGTGAAGGCAAAGAAAATGACTCATTGTGTCCCCTAGACTGGTTGTCCTAAGCTGAACTGAGACCCACATCGCATCTGCACTTTATAAATAGTCACCAGTTACTAGTTTCAGTTTTATTTTTGCTTTATTTAATGAAGTTTTAAATTAAACTTAGCTTTTAATGCACCTTTGCTAGACTTTCCAAATGCTCAGCTTGAATTTAGGTTAAAATTTAAATGTGCACATAATAATATGACTAAATCAACACTGTTGTGGGTGAGACTGAAACTCAATGAAATATATCAGATTCCTTTTCATTCTTTCATATATTCCATTTTACAATATCCTTGTTATAATCGTAATAAAATATGCTCAACTTGAGACCTGACATCCACAACACAGTGGATGTGCAGAATCTATGGTATAAGCAGATGTGGTTGAACAGCTGCACCGAGGTCATTCTGATACCTGAAGGCTGAGTGCTCAGAGCAGAGCCAGTGACACCGGGACAAGACGGGAGCAGGAAAATGTAAAAAGCTGGAAAAAAAAGAAACACTGAAGGCAAAGGCCATTCACTGGAAAGAATGACGGAGGGAGAGAAAGTCTTGTTAAATGCTGACAAATGGCTGCAAGAACTGTTCTGGCTTCTTTACGAGTCTGTTGGAATCCTAATGCCCCCTGGTGGTCAAAAGGGTTCACAGCAACTCTAAAAAGCAGATAACAGGTGGACAAAAAGATGCTTCCCTGGGAAACACACACCACTTTGTCATTATTAAGAATTAAAACATTATTAGTGCTGTGTTTTTGGTCAAGAAACGTGTTAGCACAGTTCCTTTTAATAAAAAGGAATAGTCCTTTTCTCTACTTTCCTCTTTTTGTCCAAGTTCAGACCTGGCTAAAACTGCAGTTTGTTTGTTGGATATTTCACAGCATAATTCTAAAAGTAATGAATGGATTCTGATGACAGTTTTGGAGAGGTAGAGTATAGCCCACTCCATTACATTTTGGTGATGATCTGGATCATTATCCCGATCCACAAAATCTGTAATGGTATTACTGGGAAACTGAGCTGTCTTGGTGGAGGTTGCACTTTCTAAGTGCTGTCTAGTTTATGTTTTGCCAGGTCAGTTAAATTACATTTCAAACAAAATACACATCTTAGTGACTTAAATGAAGTAAAGTACAAGCATTAAAAGCATTTAGAATAAAATCTCAAACAGTCAGAATAGTACCAGGCACAAGATGAACAAAACAGAACACAAAAGGAGTAAAAACTAGCAGTTAAGAGTTAAGGAAAAGAGAATAAATAAGAAGCTGATCAACAATGTTGACTGAACTGGGAAACTTTAAGGTGATAACTATCCCAAAATTAATGAGCTGAGCTGTGGGAACATCCAGCGGATGCCGGCTAGCAGTTTTCACACAGGCAGACATGTACCCAGAAACTTAACATTGCCTGATATTTGATAACTATAGCTAAACACCACTGACAACCACTTGAGCAAGACCAGCGAAGGAGTAATGTGCTCCCTGAACGTTATCCAGAAAATAAACGTGACTATTTTGAGTAATTTGAAAATGCACTACAGCGAGTTAAATAAATTACAGAAATTCATACAGTAGGTCCACACAAAAGCACGGATTGATTTTGCACAAAAAAGCCAATTAGGAAATAAAGAATTAAAAAAGAAAATTTTTGCAATGTAATATTATACTTGCATCATATCGCAAAAACACATTCTGAAATTATGGTTCTCGTATCAGAACAGAAGAAACCACCACACACAAACATATCTGAAGTGCCCTGTGCATGTTGACCTGCAGACTGAAAAACTATAATTTCATCAAAAGTCACAGACAAAATGATTTTGCTGCATGAACATTTTATTTCTATTAGTGCTGACAACAAGCTCAGAGCATTACTGCAGCTTTAATAGAAACTTAATTTGTTCCAGGATGTAAACATAGCTTTGTATTACAGCTATTTTCAGAGGCACCTTCAGTTTACAGATAACAGTTTTGACTGAGCACATAACTTCAGTTGATGTGTGGGGAGAGACAGAAATAATAAATAATGAAAAGTGAAGGGGTGGTGGTGAAACTCTACAAAGAACTCAACCTACAGCAAACAGAACACAGAAAAGTGAGACGGACACCTGCACAAACACACAATGAGTCACACATGCTCACACTTACTTTGTAGTTTATCAGTCTCATTAAATGTGGCTACATGTACCACCAATGTGAAACATGATATATATGAGAGACGTGAAGTCCAAAAATCTTAGAAACAAAATGTTACACATAAAATGTAAAATGTAAATGTCATATTCTCAGTTTCAGCTCTCTGTAGGAGATAATGAAACTTCCTGAGCCCTGTGCTGTCCGTAAACTCTGTACCTATATTTCCTGCTCTCAAAAAAAAAAAAAAAAACTATAAAAATCTATGCAATGAATATGCAAAAAGCTGCTGTATATTCAGTATGAGAGTACAGTATGAGAAATGTACAGCAAATAGTCACACTTTTCATCAAAACACTATAGGTCAGCTGGGTCTTTCTGAATTTGTCACTGAACACTTTATGCGCTTCATTCAGCAGTAAGATGGCTTAACTGCGACAGGTCAGAGTGGCAAACAAACAAAAGACATCAGATGTGAATCATCTACAGTTAACGCTTTTCTTCAGCTTTAGGTGTGGAATGCTTAAAAATATCTTTGAAGACCTAAACTCTGCCTTCATTTAAAATCAATATAACATAACTAGTGGAGCTTAAAATTCATTGGCCATACCCGAGCTCCAACCGGTTTTTATCAGCCTGCAAACATCCCAGGCTGAGATGACCTCACCCCTGCCCATCAGCCAATACGGATGTGCTGAAGACTGACCTTACTGAAATAATGTCCTGCCTGTGGTCTGCCAGCTGTGTTCTGTTTAGTTTTGCGGTCAGTGCTGTGCCAGTCCAGTGAGTATTTACAGGTACTTTGGAAGCATGCAGAAGTAATAACATGTGACAGACAATGACTTGACTCAGAGCTAAATTCAATCAAAAAGGTGCACGTTTTTAATTTTAAACTGTTAGTATTATACATCTTCTTTCCACACAAAACGACTTAAATGTTCTTGTGTGATGACATTAAAGTAACAGCTCAGCATTTTGGACAATATGCTACTGTAACTCACTTTTTGAAATTTAGATGGGAAGATTGATATTTCTAGTAGCTGTAGTTTCATATTTGACAGACACTTACAATTTATGGCAAGAAAGAAAATAAACATTTCCCAAATTGTCAACCTGTTTCTTTACACTGAATTTAGCCCTGAGAAACAACATACAATGGTACTTTTAAAACAAATGCAAAGAAACAACAGTAAGAGACAGTTAGTCATTTTTTCGATAGTTACCTCATCATTTATGTACACGCTTACAACTGGACTAAAAACTAAAATAAAATTATTATCCAGTTTTTAAATTAACTATCCACTCGAATAAGATTGGCCTATGATATCATATGGAATAAAATGACAGAGCACACCCAAAATTCTTTTTGCAAACACATGACATGTTTATGTCTTCATTTGTGCCCTTTGACAAAGAGGAATGATCAAACTAAAATAAATAGCCATGGCCTGAGCCTCCAAAGATTGATAGATAGGAAACTGCCTCTTTCTTTGCCAATAAGTATTCAGTGTTTCATTGCCTGAGAAGTGTCCACAGTTATGTGTGATAAGTAAATAACCAATTGTGTCTTTTTTTATTTAAACTGCTGTGGCAAGAGGTCTTTAATACTGACAGGAATGATGCGAAGGAGGCTCCCAAACACTTGAGGATCCTCCTCTGTCTGTGTCCTACTGTATCTCAGAGTATCTCAGACCCAGTACTGGTTCTTTTTCAAGGCTGGGTTCGTTGTCCGACAGTGCTGCAACAACTCCGGGTCTGTGTCTTTGGAGTCCATGTTGGACATAGGGATGTTATTAGCCGGGTCAGTTTTCCGAAAGGTTTCTGTGCTGGCCACCTCTCCGTTTTTGGGCTTGGAGGCTGCTGTCTGGACATCATGCTTTCCTGTCTTGTTTTTACGGATCAGGTAGTAGGCCAAGAGCCCTGCCAGCAGCAAGAGGAGGAGGATTACCAGGATGGGGATGAGAATAGACCAGAAGTTGCTGCGCCGGGAAACATGCGGTCTCCCATGGGAGCCAGAGCCAGGAGATGCTGTAGTTGGGGCACCATGGGGCCAGTCCACATTGCCCCTCCATCGGGGGCCATCTGGAGTGGCATAAGGGGACCCAGCCACACCAGGGATGTCATTACTCTCTTTTGATGGAGTTTCTGAGGGAAGCCTCAACAGAGTGGCAGGGTAAATCCCAGAGGCATTGTAAGGGCCCGTCTGGAAGGAAAGCACACATTCTGCAGGAGGCACCCCATGGGCTTTGAGCAGGAAGCGGGCCTCATCCTTACTGACACCACCTTGTGACCCAGAAGACCCATTTAGGATTTCCATAGCTACACGACCCTCATCCAAGTCCCTCTGGCTGAACGTGGCCACTGGCTGGCCTTCACCAGGACCACCAGACTTCACAAAAAGAGCCCTTTGTGGTTGTTGGATGACAGTGAACGTGGGGGAGGTTCTTGTCTTGTTTGCCAAAGGAGTTGCATCCAGCAGCTTTTTGTCCAGCTGGACAAGAGTGCCTTGGGGTAAGAGAGGATCCTGAGCAATGTTGGCCAGAGGCTGGACTGTGATGTTGAGAACAGAGGAGACGTTAGCTGCCCGACTGCGGGCTACAAATGCAACACTATCTCGAGGTGAAGTGGACTTCACAAAGCGGACGCTGACTCGACCTTCTTTGATCTGTTTCTGGGTAAAGGCCGATGTGGGCTGCCTGTCTACCATGACTACTGCATACTTAGGAACACTTGTGATTTTGTAAAGAATGTCCTCCTCAACAGGGCCCCTGGTAGTGGCCCTCAACATCTCTTCAGTCACCAGGGTTTCATCATCTCCTTGCTTCACCTTGATTTCAGGAGTTTTGTCAAGAAACAGGGTGTGAGCAAGGATGCTGATGTGGAGCATGTGTGACTCTGTTTGGTGTTCTCCATCTGACACAATGAATTCCATAAAGCCGTCAGCAAGGCTTTCATCACTGTAGAAGCCCACGTGCCCCCGATTGACCATCTCCTGTGTGAACTCAGAGATGGGGTCCATTGTGAGTGAGTTGACTAGTCGACCGTTGCTAGGTGTTTTGGTCACTTGAAAGTGGACCTCATTTGGAGGATTATCCTCATCTTGAGTGTTAAGATGCTTCTGGGTCAAGATGGTCATGGAGCCTTGAATAACCTCCAAGAGCATGTCTGTGGTGACTAGCTCAGGAGGATCAGAGCCTCTGCGTTTGATTGAGATGTTAAAGGCCTCCTCCAGGACCAGCTCATTAGGTGAGGCCACACCATGGCCCTCAGTCTTTACTTGAGCAGTGAAAGAGAAGCTGTCAAAGGAAGCCCCCGAGTCATCATGGAGATACTCCACCTTTCCTTGTGTTACGTCTTTCTGCATGAAGGATGGGGCATTACGAGGCAGGTCCTGACCATCCAGAGTGATACGACCATGGGCGGGGAAACGGATAATGTCAAAAACTACATCCAAGTCACCTTGCTTAGCCTCGGGTAGGCTAGCCAGAAGGTTTGAGGCATCAAGAACTGAATCATCAATGGCTTTTCTCTGACCCTGCACAATTTCAAGACCTGAGTGGAAACAATTAAAACAAACAGAAATGTCAAGGTACTTTCTAACTAGTTTTTGCTGCTCAGGCAAAAAAGAATAACAGTACATACAGTAATAAGAAAGTTATTATAAAACAATGAGAAAAAAAGAAGAACAAGCTACAGTTTTCTAGCATAAAGGCAAATTAATCAGAAATTCAGACATGTGATTTTAACCAGAAGGGTTATAATGATTTGCACAGTTTTTAAAATAAAATAAATTTGTTATTCAGCTCTGACTGCTGCTTTTAATCTGTGAACAAATATAGTAAATAAGTCAAATCAAGTGTTCATATTTTATTGGTTTTAATAATTTTTGAATTACTAACCCCTTAATGAGAATTTCCCCCCAACAATATAACATTTTTTTTTCCAAATAAAATCTCTTCCAAACACCACAAATTTGCAAAACTATCTGAAGAACTGACCTCTTACTAAGTGTGAAAGAAGCTGAAATCGAATCAGTCGGTCAATCGGTGTTTTACTGACTGAGCCACCTTTTCAAATGTTTGTATTTCCCAGGATACAAAAACATTTCTTGGCTTAAAATACTTCACAACAGACTAAACAATAAACAAAACTATTCACACACTCCACCCACACTGTATCTTTTGAGTATGATTCACTTGAAAATGTTTCTGGGATGTATGAATAAAGGTTAAATGAACATCTGATATGCCTATTTAAATAAACGACAGATGCTCCCGGTGAAAACAATATTTACACATTGCAGCTCTAGTGTTATTATTTTGGGCAGAGTTGTGTAATCACCTCATCATCTGTGTGAATGTGTGTACAGCAACCAAGATTTTTGGATAAATTAGCAATAAAGTGGTCATTAAATTAGATCCTCGTATTAAAGCCATAAAAAACTAAACAAATCATTCATTCACATGACAATATTGTATTCCTCCCTCATTTTGTCAAATACCTTTGTTCTTCCACAAATGTGAGACGTTGCTGTGAGCGGCAGAGTAAGAGATGGTGATAGGCAAAATGTGGCGGACGTCTGGGGCTGGCTGCGATGACAGAGTGAGCTCTATGGAGTCTCTCACAACCCAGAAAGGCTCCTCAGGTAGCTGGTGCTCATAATATACTGATCCTGACTCCAGCTATGTATCAAGGGAAACAAAATCAGACAATAGTGAGGCGTAATTCAATACTTAAATAACCCTCTGGCATGTTTTACTCACTGGCAGCCAGGTTAAGTTTATTGTAACCTCCTATGAATGCCCTTTGGCCAAAACTGGAAGAAGTAATAGTCAAGAGGAATCTATACATTAGCATTTAAAAAAAATCAAAAACAACTCCTGTGCCAGTAGCTCTAGCAATTTTATAGGCAAACACTGACATTTTAGTTTGGCTAAGTATTTTATTGCTCCCTCTCCCTATGCTATTTGTAAGCACCCCAGTAAAATGGGAGCTGAAATGGCTGCAGCAGTGGTTTGGCTCAGTTGATCTGGGATGTGGGATTGAGACCTGGGCAGCCTCTGTTCACTCTCTGAGGTCACTGTGTCCTAAACTCAACTCTTCTCTCTGCCTTTCTTACGGCTGTGCACAAGTACAATCATGAATGCACACACAAAAGACACACCGCTGAATAACTCAACTCAAATGATCAAATTATGTTTTCAGCTTAGTGTTAGATTTTTTTCACACTCTAAATGGAGCAATTTACAGGGAAAGAATTTGTTCTCATGCTCATCCAAGCATGGTCAGATGTCAGGAGAGGAAATGGACAGATAATGTTGAGTCAGATGAAGATGAGAGTGAAAACACCTTGTCACTAATGCAGCCACACTCCAGGCCTAAGGTGTATGTGCAGTATCAGTTTTTGCCCGTGTCCCTGCTCATTTTTATTCACTATTTATACACCTGGACCTTGAGTCTGTAATAAAGTATCTAACTATCTATCTACTACAGTGTGGTAAAGAGGTGAGTCAGTTTTGGGCAGCTCACAATTTTGTCTGAGTCTGGAGTTGAGGTTGATAGCAGCAATAGTTGGGGTGAGATTAGGTTTGGCGTTACACTGAAGAGATGGTGAAATAGTCCAATATATATATTGTAGTTTGTTATCGATGAATATTTAGTACATTTATGTTTATCAAAATACAGTAACTACAGTATTTTAGACCAATTAACAAAAATGTCCTTTTCAAATTATTATGAATCATTGTCAGGGCAAAGGGCAGCACGGTGGCACGGTGGTTAGCGCTATTGCCTCCACCCGGGGCCTTTCTGTGCGGAGTTTGCATGTTCTCCCCGTATTTGCGTGGGTTCTCTCCAGGTACTCCGGCTTCCTCCCACAGTCCAAAGACATGCAGCATAGGTTGATTGGTGTCTCTGAATTGCCCGTAGGAGTGATTGTGTGTGTGAGTGGTTGTTTGTCTGCGTGTTAGCCTTGTGACGGACGGGTGACCTGTCCAGGGTGTCCCCCGCCTCTCGCCCGCAGATGGCTGGGATTGGCTCCAGCCCCCCGTGACCCCGTTTAGGACTAAGCAGTATAGAAAATGGATGGATGGACAGATGTCAGGGCAAGCTAAAGTTACAACAGATTCTCAAACCTGAAAACCTTCAGTTCTGTCAACAGACAGTTTGAATTACTCTTACGTTTATTCCACTGACTTCCTTCTTATGAACAGAGGTAAATGCTGACACAGTTTTGAGCAAAAGTATCAAAAGATGCCAGGAGCTGTGACGTGAAAGACCTAATCTGAAAGATTTCTGGTTGGTTTTGCAGCACCTGTTTGTGTTGAAAGAAGGATTACTTGCACTTTTATGCATTATGTCTTCTTGTATGCAGCAGACGACTGGAGTACCTCTGACAGCTATAACCACTAAGTAACACAAACATGTTCATAGGAATGTTAAACCTGAAACTGGAGAGGATTTATTTGAAAGAAGCAAGTGATTATTAAAAGAAAAATCAGTTCAAAAGATGTTTTTTGTATTAGGTTTTCATCGACAAGCCTAAAACATATTTGAATGTCTCTTCGCCCTGTTGAAGAGAAAATACATCCCAGAAAGACACATTTAGCACCACACACAGAAGATGTAATCACCTGTGATTGTGAGAAGCTGGTAGTTTCTTCGTACTGGTTCCTGTCATTGGCCACGATGAGTCTTCCCAAACGAGGTGGGCGGATAAGTGAGTAGCTTATCTCATTTCCATCCTCGCTGGTTACAGCTCCCAGATTGGCGCTTGTGATGGGCTGCCTCGTGCCTGTGAACACGCACAAACACACACATGGTCCTCTGAATGCTGAGATGGTTCTGTGGAAAATAGCCTCTTGTCAGTGCAACTGAGCTTGTAGAATTAAGCTGAGTTTAGACTTTCCTCTGACGTTAGTGGTCAGAGTAACGAATGCTTTACTATGCAGGAGAGTTTCCTGATTCAGAGTTTAATTCCATAAATGTATCCAAGCTTTAAAAAATGTGATAACTCATCTCATATGTCATGCACATAAAAGCTAAGTTTATTATAAAAAGAACTGAGATTCTTCCTGAGTGCGCTGACACTTGGCTCATGAAATAGTCTAATTTCTGCAGAAGTAATCTTAAAAGCTTCATGTGGTAATCGTTTTAACCCTACACAATGGCTTTCTTCAGGAAAACCTAATGAATTCTTCCATGGATCATACCTTTCCAAAAATGTCAGAATCCATTCATTTCTTTTTTGAGTTATACCGTGAATAAACCGACACACCAGCAAAAACCAGTAAAAACACAATCTCCTTGGTGAAGGTCACAATGGCCTGTTATTATTCTGCAGTAGCGTCAAAGCTGAGCACTTGACGACACCCTCATCTCTGTGGCTTTCCTTCCGTCACTATTGTCTTCACAGTTTAAAATTTGGAGGATTTTGGCATCTTACCTGGAAATACCACAAGCTCCTCCTGTGTTACCATGGTGATGGTGAATGGCCTGGCTGTGACATCAAATCGGTAGAGAGGAGTTGTGTGCTCGCCATCTGTCACGGTGAAAGTGAAACCACCAGTCTCCTCACCTGCAGGACCAGAAGAGTTTGGATGTTTGTTACTGTTCACTCCGGTGGTTCATTTTGTTCTTTGACTTTCTACAGTTCACTCCTTTTTGTGTCTATCTACCACATATTCTTTATTTTATAATTACAAAAGCAGGATGTAATTTACAACTTGTTAAACCTGTGTGACCTTGTTGAAAAATACACTTTTATTTGTCACAATAAAGGGTCAAATAAAAGGTGCTTACACAACATGGCAACAGTATGTAGCATCTGCAGGGGTTTACTGTAATAGGGCTGCTGATCAATACCAGTGAAGTACTGATTACTTTGCCACATACTGAGTTTTCAACCCTGAGAGACTCAGACAATAGGTAAAAGTTGGAGAACATTTTAAATCTATGCTGTTGTATATTAAACTATTAGAGGTCAATAAAGGTCAAGATAACCATCCAACATATCCATAAAAAATATTTCAAACATAAATATACAATTATGAAGGCTGCAGATTGACTTTTTGCTTTTGGCCTAGTGGTCTCACCCTCATGAATAAAGATGACTTCTCCTTTGTTTATGTGAGCCTGCGTGAAATTCAGGATGCTCTCCTTGGGCGCCTCTTTCAACGCCACCATCCCATTGATTAGCACCTCAACATGGTAAACCAGTTCCTCTGAGGGGGTATCGGCATCCTCAGTGTTCAGCATGCTGGAGGTGATATCAGCTTCCTCTCCAGCAAGAACCTGTGAAATATCATAAACAGTGGAGCACAGAGAGAAAGGAAACAGGTGAAATGACACATTAGATTACTCAGCCTGAGTTACGCTTGCAGGAGTGCAATTGAAATCGGGGGTCAGGAGCTTATCCGAACATTGTTACAAACTGCTTACTGATAGATAGATGAGCCAAAAAAGGAAAAAACAAATAAAAAAAATGTATCACAACAGCCACCTCAAAGTAACAATTTAAAAGGTTAATTATTTCTCCCTGGCAGTCTATGTGCTCCTGTTATCAGAAGATGGAGAACAACAGTGCAGGTTGAATGACTCTCCCTGGGTGGAGGGTCATTAATGGACTCCTAAAAGTTGGCTGGCTGAAAGAAGCATTAATTGAAAGAAATGGGCCACATCCCCAGAAAGATGTTCTTAAATGGCTGGATTCAGCTGGGAGAGTGAGCCAAGGGTGCTCTGCAGTAAGAGGTACATATCGATCTTGAAAGCCATTCATCCTCTGATACCTTTCTCACTTTTAGTTGGTGAAGAGCAAGGAGCTTCTGGTGAGAGGAAGAGGAGGGATATTTTATGCTTCCAGTATCACTCATTCAGTCAATTATATCCAGATTAATTTATGCCATGGGCCACATGCAAGCATATATCATCCAAATATAAAACCTATGTCAAAGGTTATTCTATAATGATGTCTCACAAGTGCTGTAATTCACTTCTTGTGCGTTGATCCGAGTTTCTCTCAATATGCCTTATGGCAGTTATGTGCAATATAATGACTTTCAGTGAGCTTAAACCTGTGACATTCATTTGTGGGACAGATAGAAATACAAAGAATGGTAGCAAAATAGTGGCTGGTTAATTTTTTCTATCAGTGAATTGACTGATAGCTGCAGCTGAATGGATTAATGAGTATGGAAAGTGTGTTGGACACAGTGAGGGAATATGCCTTGGAAGAATGATGTTTCCTTCTTCTAACACAGGGACACTCAAGCTGCTCTGGAGACACTTTGCTAAAACATGTACATTGCTCACTTTATGTTAGTTTTTCCAATCTATCTGTCATCCATCTCTGTATGTTCTGTTGCCCATTTTACACTTTCCATGCAAGTTTATTCTCCATAGACTGTTGCAAAACCAACAAAAGTGCTGCATCTTACAGTTTTCTTCTGCTTTTTCAAAGCCATCCAGAATGGATTAATATAACAGATGTTGTATGAAGTGTATAATGTAGTTACCTTACAATCTACTGCTCATAACATCCCATTTAGTTTGATACTCCATCAAAGCACTATCGCCTTGACACCCAGCATCAACAGTTCAAAGCTGTAAATTGTCATTACACACTTTCTGATTTTTTTTTCTGGTAGAGTTGTTTTTTGTTGCTAACTTTTTATAACTGGTGACAAGTAGGCATTGAGCTGAATTGAACTGTAATGTTCATATTCACTGAGCAATTTCTTCTGCTATACATTTGACTTCATCAGTACTGTGTAGTGACAGCAGAGATCATTAAAAAGTAGGCTCTTACATTCTGTCTGACAGTTTTGTACCTTTGTTAAGGTGATACCTGGGAGACATTTGGTCCTTAACCTTTAAATGATTACCAAGAAACTCAAACTTTTATATCCATTATACATACCAATTAAAGCTGTCGCATTTGTTTCATGATATTTAATGACTATATCCAAATATGTATTCAGCCCTGTTTCTCCCTGTAGTCATTTATACAGTGCTTACTGTACAGTCCTAGGTGCCAGATATGTTTAGAAGCAAGCAAGTAGCTAGATTTAGGAGGATCCCTGAACCATCAGCTTGAGGGAGAGCAAGGCCTACTGCTTGGATTGCAGAAGGCAGAGACTCCAGTAGCAGTCCCTATTGGTGAGGTCTGGTGAAAAAGATCACCTCCTAGGACAATGCCCTCTTATGTGTCAGATACCTCCATGATAAGCTAGGAATAACCTGCCTGGATGAGCTCAAGAGGTGGTGTGTCACCTTCAGATGGAGACTTACATCATCCTACTGGAAATGATGGCTTTGCATCACTTTAAGCCGCCTATAGGTTGCAAAGATATTTCAGGTAGAGCTGACAGCTGCACCCTAACAACCTACATAAACAACCTGCAAATCATTTTGTCAACTGTGATGTACTGCAAAGACCAGATATATCAGGCCTTAGAGAAATGTTGCCTGCTTGAGGCAGTTTACTTCTCTGGCTTTGCAGAAAGCAGGGCCTGGTGGTCTGTCCAGGGGCAAACCCTGGGAGGGGGACTGGAGTTTGAACACAACAATGTGAGCCAAGTCTGGACTCTGTTAAGGAGGGTGGAAGTGAATCTGTTTGCCTTACGGCAGAAAATCAACTGCACCAAGAAGGAGACAGCTGTTCAGTGCCTTTCCACCCCTCCGTTTGATTCTTCCCCTTGTAAAGAGTCAGACATAAGGGACTGATAGTCTTTCTAGTAGCTCTAGACATGTTATGCAGAGATGACTTAATTGATATCAGCTCCACCCACATGGAAAGTTTCTCAGTGTAAGGAGCAATGTTGCAGGCAACTGTTACAATACCAAACCATCATTCTTCCACCACTACTAACTGATGCTGCTGATGATTTATTTTTAAGGAGGGTGGGTAGAATCTCCTGGCAGGAAGCAAGAGGAAATGTGATAATTTTGAGACACACTTGTACTAACAATACCATTGGCTCAAGACAAAAGCTTCTAGTTGTCTGAACAAGTTTTGTTTTTTTTACTACCCTTTCAAAGTGAACATGGTGAAATTCAAGCTATAGCAACTTTAAAAGAAAAGTAATCTTGTTATTTCACTTATGAACACATGCAGCATCCCTGACTCATGTGATTGTGTATGGTCAGAGTTTTGCTTTGTAGCGCCTGAAGCCACACCCAGCAGAGATATTGTGTGGTCAGTGTGAAACACCCATGCACCACTGCAGCAAGATGAAAAGTTAAACCACTGGAGGTCAGCAAAAACAAGATATTCAGGGAGTGTTACTGCAAGTTGCTCTTTAATCTTCAGGGCTGATGCAGTTTGTCCCAGATACCTGGAACACAACATCAGGAAGCAGGATTTCTTTGGTCAAGGCTAGTTTAGAGGAACGTGTACATACATGAGATAGTCCAACTCTCCACGTGGTAAGAAATGTACTGAAATATAAAAATAGTTGTTTTTATTCTCCTTCCCTTTGTTGATATAAGATAGATCTGTCATGCACAAATTGTCTAAATCACAGAGACATAATTTGAGAATTCAGCCTCGAACATGATAAATCAAATTTATTTCTACTTTGAACGTTTTAAAGACAAGACGAAGGCTAACAAACACACAGATTGTTAGACTGGCTTGTTGCACTCATGGGAATGATAATGATGACCAAGTATGCAATGATGATTCTTATTCTGCTCGAATGCAGTGTTAATCACCAGATTCTACTTGAAGAAAAATAAAATACATTTTCTCAGTGCAATACCCAGGATTTAACACTAGATGGCTACATCAGCCCACTCTACCCTGGTGAGGCAACAGCCAATCTAGGCCATCTAATGTGAAAATGGCCTTGCAAATTGATGGTTTACATAACAATCAATGCATTTAGCATCTTAGAGTATGGGCTGCAAATTCAATTTGATCAGACACAATAGCTGATATTTCATTTTGAGGCAGTAATGAAGAAGCTGCCACAAGCAAATTACTCTGAGCACAAATGACTTAGTTTGCTGATGACTCAACAGAATACCAACATTTCTTAAATGTTTGAGACTGAGAGGTGCCAGACATCTGGAGCTGTATCGGAAACTATGCCTGTCATCCAAAATGTTGACTAGTTTAAGTACAAGGTACACTAGTTTGTCCCTAACTATATACTGGGGGGTGGGAGGACAAACTACAGCACAACAGAAAACAATTAAAGATCATAAAACAGATGATAGGAGCTGTGGTGACAATAAAGGAAAAATGATAGTGGTGGTGTTTTATTGTTGTGTTTCCTATTTATGGCTATGGCATTTCTCTCTGAGACACATACAATACCCTCTCCTACTTTGTGTTTTTATGATGGATAAACAAAAATGACTTCATCTATGATCATGTGTACAAAAAGCAAGACTGCAATTGGAGCAAAAGTGTTTGGATGGTTATACAATCCTACAAAAATGTAAAGACTCAAAAGAACAAAGGTAATGGCAGAAAGAGAGACAGAAATACTATAGATAGATCTGGATGCTTGAACAAAGTTCAGCAGAGGCAACAAGAGACAGACAGAGACATGGTGTAAACTCTAATCCAAACCAGCTGCATCCTATGGGCTGGGCCAAATGGGATAAATGTTGAGTTTGAGCAGAGCCTGATCATGGCTATGTTAGCTCTCATGTCTGACTGTCTGATGCAGAGGTCCATTCCCCCCCCCCCCACACACACACTTCCTGTTTTAAATCAATCCAAGCGCTGCTGGGCCAGCACTGGCTCTGCCAGCCGCCCTCCCCCCCCCCCCACACACACACTTCCTGTTTTAAATCAATCCAAGCGCTGCTGGGCCAGCACTGGCTCTGTGTGGGATAGACTTCCACATATTATTATGTTACATTCTGCAGCCACAGCCGAGGCGGCACAGGGATTGGATGCCACCCTCGCTCTGCCAGAAATCCGCGGTCTTGTCGACCATTTTGGTTTTCCAAAAATACGGGTTGCCACGGAGACGCAGAGCCGCTGGCAGAGCAGGGAGGGCTGAATGACACAGTGGGTTTCCAGTTCTGTGAGCTGATTACTGCTGGCTTTTTCCAACTGCCTGCCTACTCTAGCAGTACAATCCACTTCATTGATCCTACAAAACTTTTATGACTGATGTAAATCAGCTTGAAAGTGTGTCGCAAACACACAGTGAACCTCCTGTAGCTACAATCAAATACATATGCGATCAAATAAACACCTTTCATTTTACAGCAAACAGCAATTACTGTGATGGACTGTAGAAAATAGTTACCAAAATCATTTCAAGACACATTCCTTCTATTTTAGACATATTTCCACATGTCACCATTTTATCAAACGACTATCTTGCTTACACTATATTGTTTTGATATATATTTTTAAAATATAGGAAGAGATATACTTGATATGTAGTGATGGAGTGATGTGTCCTACTTGCCTGTTCTGGTACAAAGTGACTATTTACTATTATTAAATTTACTATTAGTAAATGTGTGATTGCATTAAAATGCATAAAGATGCTGTACACCTGAAGATTTGCTTGACACTGCATGGAGCGCTTACAGTAGTGAATGACTGCCTTCTTATAGGTATGTGGCTTTCATGATTCCACTTCCACAATTTTAGCAGTCAAGCTGCGAATATGAAAATTCACTTATATTTTATGGCTCTTTATAAAAACAAATATGCTGTGGAGGCCACTGTTGTACTGATGCAGCATGCGTCTTCATCTGCGAGGTCACTATCCTCCAGTGTCTAAGTAAAAATTCTCAGAATTTATTGTATTTGCTGCATTAAGTGAACTTAATTCTAAGTTCATACAGTACAGGAATTATGACAGTGGACTATACCAGCAGCTGAAATTATCCAGTATATATGCAAAAAAAAGATCAGTAAAGATGAGAAAAGTTCATTCAGAATTCACAGTTCAATAATTCTTAAAACTATGATTCTATATCAGCTCAGATTGTCGCAGTAACAACTTTTTACTCTTGAACCTCTAGTATAAAATGTTTTGAAAACCTGTGCAATAACCCGTCATTATGTAGACTACCATATACAATTACACTATGTGCAATATTTGAAACTCCCCATTTTACCTGCTCTCTTATTCCTGTATCCAAAACTTTATCAATTATTTTGTATTCTGGTTTTTTGTATTTTGTATTCTTGGGTGATCTTATATTTAGACTAGGTGTTTGTTCTTTTGGCTTTAAACTCTTTACTTGACTCCTGGAGAGCCCTGCACAAGAATTCCTATATGCCTAGACTGTCTGTTTATGCATAAATGGTAAATAAAAATCTTGATTCTTGATTGAAGGGCCAGTGAGCTAGTAATTTAGTTATTAAGTGGGAAAAAACTATCAACCAACTGAAAGTTTAAATTTCCTACAGCATCATTTCCAGCCACTGAGGATGCTGGATGAAAGCTCAAAGTAAAAGCTAATCCACTTTCAAAGAGCAAAACATTACCTCCAGTCCCGTGTTGCTTGTCACTTTTGGCGGCTCATCGTTGACTGGTATGATAGTCACTGAGATGGTGACAGGGAGACTCCGACGCTCAATCTCATAAGCCGAGGCAGAGAGTGTAAAACTGTCCTCTGTGCTCTCTGTGCTGTCATGCATGTAGTAGATGTGTCCACGTTTCACCTGAAGAAGGAAAAAATATCCAGTCGTCATGGAGTTCTGAATCAGATCAGAAAAGTCATAATATAGGGACAGGCTGAGTGAGACTAAAAGGTGGAATACAAGTGTACAGTGTGACTATGTCTCTTAACACCTGTATATCACCTGTAACTCCTATGACAATTGAGAGAAACTCAGTTTCATGACAATTTTCATCCTAAATTCTTCTAGAACTTTATTTCTTAGTTTGATTACAATATTTATATTTTTTCTACATAGCTGTCTTTCCCCTCACATGTGAAACTCCACTAGGTTTTTCCACATAATAGTCAGTTTTCTAATCATTTGGGGAACTGCTCAGCCTGTGAAAATATTTGTATAATGAGCTCTGTGGCTCGAGAGAACCTAAATTATCTCAGCTTTGGTTTGGAGATTTATGACAGAAAACCCCCTACATTCACTTTTCATCCCTTCCTATTCCATGTCATGCCTATATGCAATAGTCTATGTAGGAAAATATGCAACTTTGCACATTGTAACTTTGACAAGCAGGGTATAAATGGGGTTTGTTATTAAAAGTCTGAGATTTTGTGAAATGTTCTTTTTTACTTTAAGCCTAGATCTAGATGAAAGTTGGTCAAGAAACTAACTGGTCCTTCTTAGTTTCTTGCATGGATTAATCAGAGGAGATGTAATGTGTTTACCAGCTTTACAGATGCTGATAAATGAAGTATTGTTCATTTTCTGGGCAAAGTGAGGTCAGCTGTGTCCCTCTGCTTCTGGTCTTTATGCTAAGCTAAGCTAACAGCTATTTAATGTACAGATGTGATGGTGGCACAGATCTTCTCATCTAACTCTCTGCAAACAAAAAAATATATTTTCAAAAATGTCAAACGTTTCCTAGGTTTTTAGAAAATGAGAACATAACTACTGTTTTAACAAAACTGTGTGTATACAATGCAGTATATCTTTTGTTTTTCTGTTCTAAATAGATCATATATCTCTGTAAAGTTTGAAGGTGAAGGCTATAATCAGGTCTTAAAGTCTGGCAGCAGTGCAGAAACAAAGAGAAGCTCCCTTGTGGGAAAAAACCTTGAGGAAAACCAGCTGCACAAAGGAATCAGTCATCCAGTGTCAAGTGAGCTAGATGGAGAACAGCACCTGTGGCTGGGCCAAGCCAGTTCTGTCGACTTTCTGCATACAGAAGAGGACTCTCAGCACCCAACATCCTGTGTTCTTGTTTCTCAGTCCCTTAGTCCTATCTGGATCACATAATGTCCCTATTTAACCTTTTCTTTTGATATGTTCTGACAAATTTGCAGAGATCCGGGGTGCTTCTCAGTAAACATGAAAGTTTGAACGTAACGTAGTAGACAAAAGCCAGTAAGCTGCTGGTATAAGAGGGCCTATGTCAGAGGAACTGCCAAATGGATCCCATATGACTGGGGCACTTCTGGAATAACAACCCACATCATCATTACTGATTGGGGAAAGTCAGTGAGACAGTCAGCCTGCTCACAGGGACAATAAACAGTGGGTGGTTGTCGAGCACATTGCCTTCAGATTTACTCAGATAAAGACTGTGTGCCTCATTATTTGTTATTAGCAGAATAATTTTACATTCATTTACAATTACTGTATAATCTCAGGTTCTCTGTGCCCACTGTAGTTTGCTCATTTTGTGCCAAAACCATTTTGTACTTTGTGAAAAATAAAGATGCCTGTATGGACTTTAATAGTTTTCTACAGATGGAAGAACTAATGAAGACCCGGTGGAGAGCTGAACATGATTAAAGCAAAGGTGTATTAGAGTGTCTCAGATGCACTATATTTCTTCAAGTTGGATCTCACTCAACATAGCATATGCTGTTGACTTTATTGTTCAAAGTTGTAAGTAAATCACAGTCAGTGCTGTGGTTAGAAATGCTCCATACATTGTCTGACACAGATTCCATTTTAATGTGACACATCCGGGCCACATAACACAGAATTACATTACATTCTTGTGGTTGAGTTTTCTCAATTATTCTCACAACACACCCCCCGTGATAGTGTACACTTACATAACCTCAGTGAACCACCCCAAGTGATGACAGAGTCACTACACACACCAGTAAGTCCAGTGTCCATTTCCACTTGCTTAGTGAAGCTTGAAATAGCATTAACAACATGGCAACACAGAAAAGCAGACGCATCCGACTTTAATTTTGGAACAATTACGGTCGGGTTTAAATGCTGTGCGGACTGAGGCTTGGACATTTATTCTTCAGTGTGGCACTCATTTAGAGAACTGACTGTTTCATTCTCTGGGCATAAAAAACCCCCGGAAAAAGCAGACCCACAGTGCACACATAAAAAAGCCTCCAAGAGGCATGTTTACAGGAAGCCTTTTTCTCTGACATTTCCATAGTGGTAGATGATTATATCTATGTTCATTTTTGCGTCCTTGCCTCCAACGTAATAAACTCTATGCATTAGACCCATTCGAGTTGTGCAGTGGGATCTTTGGAACACAGTATGATTTAGTCTGGCAGTAGAAAACTGGGAGGTATGTATACTCTTACACATTATTATAGGAATATACTAGGCCAGTTTATTTTGGCTTGAGGCAGTCCAAAAGCATAGTCAGCTTTTCCACAGTGGTTCAGCAAAGAGAAGAGTACAGCCTGAACAGAGATAGATGTAGGGGCTATAAGATATGTGTCTAACTAGGTCCTCTAAACTCTGTGGTTTATTCAGAATGTGGCTTTTCCACAAGTAACTACTTATGCATTTTTAATATGTTCCTAAAGCTGAGGCCTCTCAACCACAAAGAATGAGACCAGATAACTGTGCTGCAGCATCTCCCATATTCTGCCTTGTCTCTGTGTCTGGTAGAAGAAGTTCCATAGTGACGCCTTGCCGTGGTAATCTTCTTGAACAACCTCTAAGATCTAGTTGTAAGATGGAGACTGTATGCACCTAGGAGCTGACAAGATAATACTAGAGTGAAATTCAGGTGCCAAGTATGGTCATTCTTGCTTGAAGAAATTATAATCAAATATATTTAATCCTTAAAATGTTAGATTAGTGGATTTGGCAGTAACACGTGATACACTTATGCTAACTATTTGGTGCATTCAGTAAACAAAAAGTCTCATGTTTTGTTTTACGTTGCATCTATGTGCTAATAAGCAGACGGGACAAAACAACTGTCATACATTTGAGTGGAAGGTCTTTGGAGACAACAAGGGAAACCCAGAAGGAAAACATAATCCTCAGAGTGGCTATAATCAGTATTTTATAAGAAGAGTGGATCACGTCACTACTTGTTTGTGAGTGTTGAAGTTTTCACAACATCGACTTAACATTGATGATATGCCAGCGCTGTGTTTGCAGTTTGTTTCTGCTTTGTAATGGTAACAAAATCAATTATTGCAGCTTTAAGAATTTATAACCATATTTTTTCAGGTACTCCTCTATATGCTAATGCATTTATATCAAACATTCCTGGAAAATGTGCAAATTTAATGGGAGTACAGGCTTTGGTGTAGTGCATGTGATGGAAATAAAGTGTTTACTGTAAAAGAGAAGAGCTGGTTTATTAGCCACCAGCAACACCAGCATAGATACAGTACCCAGGAGAAAAAGGCAGTAGTGCAATATTTGAATGAAGAGGCAGAAAATGTGATTGTTTTGAGGTCTTTGACAATATTGTTTGTTGCAACAAGTGAATTTGTAATTTCTATATGTTTTCTATCATGTCACTACATACCTCTTCCCAAGTGAAATAAGTAAGTTGGTCTCCATCCAGGTAGCGGATGTCCCCGTGCTGTGGCGGCTCGTCCACAGAAAAGTCTATGTTTGCTGAGCTGTAGAAGGGATGCGAGATGTTTATAATCTCCACATTAATTGCCCTGTTGAGGCCTTCCTTTACTGTAAAGTTGAAGGTTTGTACGGGGATGAACCGGGGGACAATGTTCAGAGAGATCTGCAGGTCCTCCAATGTGGTAAAACCATTACCGACATCCACTGTGAAGGCATCACTGCCCTGAAAGAGATGGATGTTCAAATAAGTTATTCATACTAAAAATAAACCTTGTATCTCAGAGCTACCAGAGGCTGAAGTTGTGGCTTTGTCTGATTGATTTTACTCTGTGTGGCTATGAAAGGGATCACACTGCTACATCTGATTTATTACATCAGAATAAATGATGGTAAACCTGGATGAATGCAGACACATAGAGAATGAGGCCCTGATCAATGTCATCCTGCGTGAAGTTGAGGACAGGAGAGGCACTGTCGTCTGAACTGTTTGTCAGCCTGACCACGTGCCCAAACTTAGGAGGATCTTTAATGGTGAAAACCATTTCTGTAGGCAGAATATCAGCATGCTCAACCTAGAAGGCAAAGGTAGAGTACATCAGTTAAGACAAAAGGTACTGGTTTAATTTATTATTTAACTTTTTAACATATCAGCATGTTTTATAGACTGAAACATTTGCAGAAGTATAATAAACAGCAATGTGCTTGACAAATATTACTGTGCACAATAGTGTACCACACACTCATTTGAAACGTGTTTTGTTTATGTAATTAAATTGTTGAATTTTTGGAGCAATTAATTGTTGATTAAATGACAGCATACATACAGTACTGTGAAAACCATGTATCTCCAGAATTGAATGTTTTCATGAGGGAAGTTAAACAGCCTTGTTTACTGCTTTATGGATGAATGCATTTTTCATATAATCCAATGATTTTTTTTTAAGTGGTTAATTTAGATTTAGAACTACAAGGGTTTTCTCAGTGCATAAAAGAACATTAAATCATTCAGTGACATTAAACAATCAAATGCATGATTTCAGATGCGTGCTTTACTGAGTGGCAGCAATACTTTTATTGCTTAATTTTTGAAGTGTGGTTAGAAAAGATGTCGTCAGTCTCCAGTGCAACACACAGTGAAAATAGTCAAACTACCCACAGCTGACAAAAATAGCAAGCGGTTTTACAACTTCTCCAGCAACAGCTGCCAGATAAAACAAATGTACTAATACATTTTTTTTTTTAAATTGGCAGTATTGTTTTAAAGTTGTTGGCTACTCTGACACCTGGAGTAAGAGGCCTTGTATCGCGTCCTGTTAAAACACACGCATATGATCCACTAATGTCACTACAGATTTGTTGTGTATTAAAATATTGCACTGTTAAATATAGCACATAGGTGGAAACCTAATGGTCCTGCTATAGTGCACTGTATAATGCCAATTTTGGACTCAGTGTTAGACAGTACGGTGAAGAGAAACATAAAAACTGTTTGTAGCATGTAGAGCCATGTACCAGATGCACACAAAGGTAGGTTTATGGTCATCCCTCTTTAACAAGTTTGAATACGCTCTCTCAGGCCTGGAGCCTTGGGGTGTTTAGCATTCTTGCCTTTATTTGACAATATTTCAAAAGATCATAACACTTTGTATTTCTTAGGAAGGACATATGCTCGAAAAGCTCCCAAAAGTCAAGTCAACATTTGACATCTTCTGTCAAGGTTTTGTTCATTACATGTTTTGGGTAGTTTGTGTACCAGGTGTCCAGGTTCTTCTCCAGTCAATACAGTAGATTTAAAGTGTGATCACTACTGTGAAGTTATAGTTTAAAAGGAAAACAATATTTTGCTTTTAGAAATGTTGCTCATTATTTTAAGATACAGTATGCTGTATATAGAGCGAATGTGTTATGAATGGACCCATAACTGAAACATCATTAACTGCTTTCAAGATGAGGTGCCGGCACACCCCTCTTATAGATTACAGTTGGGTTCAGGAAGCTCCTCTGGGAATACTTACTGCTCTGTTTTATACACTTAGACTGTAATTTAGTACATAAACTAGATTAAAAGCAATGACGGCACAGTCATATTTAGCGTTACTTTCATGTGGTTCTAATGTAAATTAGAGACAAGGTTACAAATCAAGTCAGTTTGAATGAGTCATGGAAAAATCATATGATCACTGCCAAATTAAAATAAAACTTTGCCTAGCTGGATAAAAACAAATGTGTCTTGCACATATTAAATGTCAGCAAGCAAATTAATCTAAATTATAGGTTTGTTAACTGTAACACTACATCATATTCAAAATCAGCATACTGTAAATTCATAGTCAGTAAATCCTACCTTGATATAATCCTCGTTGATTATGGTGTGCTCTCCCTCATAGGAAATAATAACCTCATTGTTTATCACCTCAGGCTCAGAGAGGTAACCTTGCTTGAATATTTTAATCCTGAATGTACCCTCTTCTGAATGTCCTTTTGCTTGGACAACGAAGCTGAAGGAGTCCTTGGACCTCAGGCTCTCATAATTATGCATATATGACACGACCCCTTTTTTCAGGTCCTCCTGGGTGAATACTGACGCCTCAATCCCACTCACAATAATCCTGCCATCTCTGGGGGGTGATGTAATCTGGAACCTGATTTCACTGTCTTCTCTAATGTCCATGTTGGAGGCAGCACTCAGAAGGGTGGTGTTAAGGGTCTTAGTGCTTCCATGGTCGATAACAATGATTGTGTTGTTCACCACCTGCAGATAGGGCTCACCTGCCTGGATCTGAAGCAGTGCTGTGGTCTTATGGAATCCATTTAACACCTGCAGTGAGAAGCGTTCCTGATCTGCTCCATGGTGAATGAAGAGGACCTTTTTGTCTCGCAGGTCGGCTTGTGTGAAACGAAAAAGAGGCTGTGATGGTTTAGATGTTGAGACGATATTGCCTGAAAGGATTCCCTCACGAGCATAAACAACTTGGGTGTCATTTAAATCCAAGTCTTCATCCTGAAACTGGATGACATCAGTTGTTAGCAGACGCTGACCGTGGCGGACAACGTTGAACACTTTATCCACAACTCTCACAGGAACGTGCTCATTCTTAGTTTGGATTGATATCCTGAAAACACCACTCAGTGTCTCCGGATTGTCTGAATTTTCTGCTCCTTGATCAAATGCTGAGAAATGAAACTCATCACTGCTTGTTTTGGAGCCATCATGCTTGTAAATGAGCCTTTCTAGTTGGAGGTCTTCATTACTGAAAAGTTGAATTGCCCCCTCAAACCTAGGCTGCCCGGGAGGAGAGTCTCTTATCAGTCGGCCGTACTTTGGCCCTTGTGTGACCCGGTAAACAAAATTGGTTGAAATCGGTGACTGCATCCAGAGATAGTCTTTGTTCACAGTATGCTCACCACCCTCGAAGACAACCAGTCTCTCATTGGTCAAAACAGGAGCATCTGCATTGGCAAGGATGGTAATTGGGAAGGTGTACAGAGGAGAGTACTGATCATCAGCAAAAACTCTGAACTTAAACTGGTCTACACTATCCACAGCTCTTTGCACCTGAGCCCTGTAGCTAACAGTATTGTCCAAAATGTCCTTCTGGGTGAACATATCACCCTCAGCAAGTTCTTTGTCTAGCAGCTGGAGACTACCCAGTGTTGGAGGCTTGACAAGGATATATTTTACAGTTTGTGGATCTGGATTCTTCCCTTTTACTTGGACCTGAAGCTCTGTGAATCCAATTGTTTGCTCTTCACCAGCCTCCATCTCCAGCGGAATAAGGTTAGAAACTTTCACTTGTGCAGGGATTATCTTTACCAAGAAGGTGTTGTTCCAAAGGGAGAACTGCCCCAGGTGGGTGTCGAACTGAATGCGCTCCACCACAACATCTTCCTGGTCACTTGAGTTTGTGCTGATGTATCGAAGGCGGTTTTGATCCAGATCAGATTGATGGAAAGTTGTAACCTGCTTGTATATTCCATCATGTGTGAGAATCTGCACTTCTCCAAAGTTCAGAGGTTGTGTGATGTTGTACATACTATCTCCATTAGGAGGATGAGCGAGGACGTCCAGATTGTGAATACTTATGGATGCGTTGCTTCCTTGAGGCAGTAGAAGGCCAGTGTTGGTGACAATAGTTATATGTGGCTGTGTCACAGACAACTTTAAAGTAGTTGAATGGCTCACTGACTGTCCATCAGACACTTCCAAGATAATTTCAGCAGCCCTACCCCTTCGGTGTACAAAATAGATATTTCCATCCTTCAGCTCCCTGCAAGTGAACTCTGAGATGCTTCTCCCTGGCTGCTGACCATTTTCTAAGTAGCCAACTTCCATGGAAGGCTCTGAGGTTACAGTTACTACTAATTCATCACAACGGGTGTCAGAATCCATGATTTTGATAAGGCTGGGACTCAAACGTGTCCGGCCATTTTCTGTGATGATGATTTCTCCTGCATTAAGTTGTGGTATATCATTGACGGGAAGAATTTCAACTGGGAGGACATACTTGTGATGACTTTTTAGACATTCTGGAAGGTAGTTGTAACTGTGAGCGACCACCTCCAGCCTGATTTGATCTTCATGCCTTTCATTTCCCCCATGAATATACTTAATTTTCTTATTGACAACATCCAGAAGAGTGAACTTTTGTGTGCGTTTTGTGTTAATGTTCATATCAACTACTCCATACCAGGGATCTTCCTGAAGAGTAAAGACAATCTGAGACTGTCGCGTTCCTGCAGCACTCAGGTCAAATGTAGGTTTTAAGTGGTCGATATCAAGGAAAACGTTACCACCTTCAGGCACATGCAATGGGGTGATATCAAGAAGTCTTGCTACATTTTTGAATATCTCTGGTGTGTCATCTGTTGGGTAGCAATGCTTCTCATTCAAGTTCATATCAACATATCGGATGGGTGGAGGAGTTGTAGTTGCATCTACTTCGTCATAGCCTGAGTAGTCATAGTCCTCTCCTTCACATTTAAGATGCACATCTTTGGTCACTAAGACATCCTGCAGGCTTCTATCCTTCTGATTTATTTTGATTTCCCCCAAACACCCAATGAAAGATTCAGCTGTTATTTCCTCCTCTGCACGATTTAAGGATCCACTCTCACGGAAGACATCCTTCATTTTCTCTTGGATGCCTCCTAAGTACAGGTTTCCAACCAAGTCCAGTTTTTGTGATGAGTCAAGAGGCATAGAGGAAGACTGACTATCTACATAAAGGACAAAAGAATCCTGGTTGACCTCAACCTTAACTCTGTGCCACTGATCATCATCCAGCTTCACCTGGATATTCTCCAGTACCTCCATGCCACTGCCGATGTCCAGTATACCTTTCAGATAGCCTTTTGAAACACCAATAGCAATGAAGTCTGAGTCTCGACCAGGGTGGAAAACAAGTAACGCATCATCAATGGTGGTCTTCATTAGAATCTCCAGGACCCTTGGAGCACCACCGGTCCCGCTCCAGGTGGGGAAAGACACAAATGAATAAGGAGTGCTGAAACTAGTTGCCTCGCCATTATTAGCCTCAAACTCACTGCTGCAGGATTCTTTTGTGTCACGGCATTTTTTGAACACTGTGCTCAGAATGTCGAACTGATGGGACTCAAATTTGACCTCAGACATGCATCCACGGAAAGGGGGAATGGCTTTGCTGAGGTAGGGAACATCTAGCTCTTCTGTTCCTCCAAGCCAAATGCCGAGATCAAAAAGCCAGTTCCCTTTGCCGTTCACAGGAACATATGTTGGGAAGAGTTCATCAATTATCATGGTGAGTTTCCCTTCCTGCAGTGTGAGTGATATTTTGTGATCCATCAGGTTGTTCAGCTGTACTCCCTGAGATGAGGACAGTGACACCTCACCAGCTCCTATGTTCAATCGTGCCTAAGGGAAAGCAAAAACATTGTATTTATTTTTTAGAAATATAGCACATTTCAGCATTTAGCCTGTGACGTATGGGGTACTTGTTATTGTGTATTTGATTGGTAGAGTTTTTCAAAAGCTTTGAGTCTACGGTACTTGTTTGGAACATCTCACAGGAGGAACAGAATGAAGAAGACTAAGAAAGGTAACATTTTCTTAATTACACAAATGCTGAGATTTCACCTCGTTAAAATGCAGAGATATCCTTTTGGGAAAAAATCTATATCTCTGTGAAAGCACACCTGATGCTAATTCTGTTGCTTTCAAAGCTGCTGAGCAATTCAATATAGATATAAAATGTCATGATTCTCATTCCACTGAGACAACTAGAGAAGACAAGAGAAAAATCCAATCAATTTAGGTTGTTTTTAGAGTGTGACTTAATGAAATGTGTTATATACTATACATGTAAAGCTGAATGATGCACAAAACTGCATTTAAAGTCACACTCTCTACAACCTGTTATGCAGCTTTGTACATACACACTTTATTTCAATTTCTGAGACTGGCCAACCTACATTATCTTAAACATAAAGTATTTCAGCCTTAATCAGTTTGTTAACTACTCACCTGGATTTTTCCATTTTGTAGCTCAAGAAACAGGTAGTCCTCCGTTCCAGCAGCCAAGAGCAGCAGCCCACTTCGCCGACTTGTCTTGATCTGTAGCGACAGCTGGAAGGTGGAGACATCTTGGATAGCTGGTAAACGGCAGAAGCTGTCCCCAAAGTAGGATTCTGTGAAAAATGAAAAATGTTATAGCAAAAAAAGGCATCACCTTATAATTCAAAGGCTTACTACTGTACATACTGTATGTAATGTCAATAATCAGTCATTTTCAAAGTATGTCACCTGATACAAACACACACAGACACAAAGGTACCTTTTCTGTACACTTTTGAATCACCATTTATTTGGACAGGGTAGGGACCACAATTGCAGTTGTAAAAAACAGAGTAACTTGACTGGACAATTATACACTCTGCACTTTGACAACATGGCTCACCGCATTGGGGCATCACAAAAAAACACTTATATACGTTTCTGTAAGCTCATCTAACAACTGTTGACTGCCAACTCTGACTCCACTGATGTGGATGTTTGGAGGAACCAAGTAGATGAGCACATATTACAGGGCAGCTTGTTCAGATTGCTTTATTAACAGGTGTCCTTCAGCTGAAGTGGAGCTCCTCTGCCCTCTGTGGGATTTTCTCACTAAGATATCAGTCATTACCCTTGAGGAGGTTTTCAGGGCATATAGAGTCTTGGGGTGCAGAATTTCCCAGGCTTGAGCTGTCTCATTTCCAATATGCAAATTCAGCCACCTGTCTTGGACTGTGCTCTCTGGCGTCCTCAACAAAATATAAAGCATGGAGGAAGTCAATTATTTCCCAGTGCACATGCTCTGAAATTAAACTGGACCATCTCTGTGACCCCATTTCCTCAGCATTGGTTTTCCATGGCCTTAGCCAAGAAATATAAAAAGTGGGGGCAGGGGCTTTCCATTAGTCACCCACTTGCCCCACTGGGGTCACAGTTCAAGACACAGAAACACACTGAAACCAGTCTTGTGATCACACAGTGCAGAAAGAGGCAAAGTCATTTTAGAACATTTCTATGAGATCATGAGAACAAAAATATTCTCTCAGACTCAACAGTAGCATCCAGTAGCCTAGCAGGATGTTAGGCTTGATGCCACAGAGCAAAACCTTCACAGAATCATCTCTCAGCCACGATGAGTCAGAAAATAGAAGGGCAGATACTAAACATTCACACTCATAGCTATAAATGGAAAAAGTATTTTCTCAAGACTGGTGTCTGTGTGAGCAGAAATGTATGTTCCTTTAAAGGGCAGCTTGTGTCTGTGTTGCATCTATATTAATGCCATGCTGTCTACAGAACACTGAAGGCTACATTTGTCATTTGGTTTCTCACCCTGTAACTGAACCCTTCCATCCCAGATCTGCAAAAGACATTGGAAATGCGAACAAAGATGATCATTTTCATGTCAGGAAGGATGAAAATCAAAGCCTTAATCATGCTTTTGTGATTTCACTAAGAGGCATTTTCTGTTGGTTCCAAGGCTGTGCTGTCATAGAAAAGTCTGTGATAAACGGTCTGAGCACAGGGCTAAATACACACAGACTTTCGATTATATGCCACTGTAAAGCACTGATCTCCTGCAGCCACCGAAAAGCCATGTTGTCGACTCTCAGAAACAAATATCACAGGAAAACTGTTTTTGACATTATCACATGTTGAACTTTGTACCTCACAATGTGTAAATGTTAAATGAACTGAAAGAAATGAGAGAAAACTAGCAAAACTAGAGTAATGAGATCCCTCCAGATAATTCAAAATGACAATGAAGCTGAACATGCAAATAACTTTTGTATTACTGAATAAAATCAAATTACAGTATCACAATTACACATCATTCATTTGTCACTTTCAGAGGCTATTGTTATAGCTGTTACTGCCAGAAGCTGTGACAATACAGTTCAGAGACTTACTTTTAAGCCTAAGGTATTCCAAATGACAGACTAGTGTTAATTGCTCAGGAGCCTTCAGGCTGAAACTGAAAAGTGGGGGAAAAGAATCTTTTCTTACAAGCAATTGCATTAAAAAAGAAAATCACAATGTGCTCCATGGCTCTTAAACCCAAGCTTTTGTTGGATTGTTCACTGAGCACAGGAATAAAAAGCTGGAGAAGAGGGTGATGCCAAGACAATTCTGCCTGGGGAATGTCTGGTTCAAATTCAGTTTGCTGCTGCTGCCTTCAGGAAAAGGAACATATTTTCTAATGATAAACACAACAGCTTCACTCTGCAGTACACCTGGACCTCACATTCATTAGTTCTCCAGCTAAACTGTGTAAAGCTCTGTATGGAATAGGCTTCATGTAGGAAAAGCACATCTTCAAAATGCTATGTGTAGAAATGTTTTGCTCTGTGACACTTGTGTCTCTGCTCCCTTTCTTAAACTGTTTGTGTTCACACCGCCTAACTAGTATTTGAAGAGGGAATCATACCTACAGGATGAAAGAAAAACATGCTCATGACAACAGGCCTGTGCAACACAAGCCTCATATTTGCCATTTTCCAGGCACTGGGGCTGAGTGACACAATGGGTGATTTTGCGGAGCCATTATCTGTTAAGAATAGAGTAAGCTGGAGCTATGAAGCTGCTCCCACACTGTGCACGGAGGTCCAACCACTTAGGACAGTCTCTGATCCTCTGTAGTTACCACACCCCTCCTCACGCTACTTTGTGCATCCTGGTTTCAGGCCAACACAGATGGCTGTAATTTGATGACTGACTGTGCTTGTATTTATAATGCTCAGAGGAAACCCATCTCTTTCACAGACGACTGAATGAATTAGCCTGTTGTTTCTTCCCCTTTCCTCCTCTTCTCCATCCTCTTTTGGTCTCAATCTGACACATGTCCGGAATAGCTATGGGAAAGACAGACACACTGACCACAAGTGCAGGAAGATTGCCAACTTTGTATTTGGTGCCAGTGAGTCACTTAAGCAAAATTTGGGCCTTTGAGACGCAGATTTTTGCTGCCCTGATTGACCACAAAATATATTAACCTGAGTATCCTGAAACCTACATTCCTTAAGTTGTCTAATCAAGACTGGCTTCACTGATCTTAGTGTTAACTGAAAACAAGGTTAACACACAACACGTATGTTTGAAAACTAGAATCCACATTTCTCTTAAATAAAAATGCTCTTTTAAAACATTACAGAAGCAAGGATATGAAGTGTATGTTTCATCACTACAATTTCAGTATGGTAACATTGCCTGGAATGTAAACCCACCACCTACTGCACTCAGGGTTAATCCATAGTTATCTTGACTATAAATAGTCATTATGCTGGTCATTTGTTTCCTTTACCGGGCCGTGACTACTACAGGATGGAATAATGGCTTCTGGATATAATTATATGAAGGACAGGGTGTTGTTAACCATAGAATTTGAGAGCGTCTTGCATTTACCATATGGAACAGTCATTACCATGATGAGCTATTACATGTCATACAAAGGTCAATAGCACTTGTGACAAACATTTTCCAGTTATATCTACAGATAGCATCTCAGTGGAATCAAAGACTAATGAATAGAAGTAGCTGTACAGACACTAACTTGCGCTGAATAATGTAACAAATGTCATGATGCAGGTTAGGACCCAAATGCAAGATGGTAGGCAGTCACGTATACAGCAAGAGATTTAAAGAAAAAATAGGTAACCAAAGTTCCTAAGCAGGTTTACACAAAGAGTCCTGTTAACACTTAACAGATACACCAGGTGAGTAGTTAAATTCACTTAACAGAATAAGTTAAGCTCTTCACAGGGTAACAGGTGAGTAATGTAAATTCAGGGAGCAAATTAAATGCTCTTTGCAGGTACATAGGGGAATAACTAAAACAACCTTCACAGATGTATGAGTGACAGTCCTCCTACATGAGGTTCAGTGGACAACATAAAACAGATTCACAAAACTGGAGGCATAGTCCAAGGCCAGTTTCGCCAAGAGCACTAAAAAGTTCACAGGACAAGTAAGTTAAAACAGGTGCACATGACATGTGGTATAAAGCCAAGTCAGCGTTGTCTATAGATAAGAAAACTAACAGCAAAGATACAGGAACAGGCAACAACAAAGGAGATGACCAGAACTGACAAAAGATGTGCAGGAAGCATTGCTGTGACAACATGGAGACCCCCCCCAAAAAAACAGAGAGAAGGACATGACCAGAGCTGACAAGCATGGAGAAACTGACAAAAAACTCCAAGAACAAGCTCAGGGAGGTGTTAGGTACTTTCTTAGTTAGATAGATATTGATTAGAGATCTGTTGTATTAGAAGATGTTAGTGTAGCCAGGATGTCTTCCACAGGCTGTTAAATGCAAGGTTAGTTAAAGCAGAGAAAGGCTGCAGTCAGGGATAAATGTTATTATGATGGTAAAAGTAACCATAATATTTTTCTTAATGTGAATTGTTGTGTTACAGTGTTTTTAGATACACCCCACATAATCAACATTCACACACATTATTTTCTTCATGTTGTGACTACTGCCAGAGCCAGCTGCAAAGCTGGTGAGAGAGAGACGTCTCGGTTGACGTTTCTGTAGAGGAGGGGGCGAGCCAACTATGTGATGATATTGTATAGCAATTCTTGGTCCGTGGGTCTTACTGCTTCCGGGCTGCTTGGGCAGCCTGGGGGTTGGAAGATCTCTGGACTTGTAATGTTAATTTTGCCTGTGATCCTTGAATAAACCAGCACGGTTATATTTTTTATATATCCAAGTGGTCTGAGTTGTCCCTCTGAGTTCCTGGTTTGAAAGAACCGAACGTGGCTTTATAATAGAATAGAACCTTTAGAGGTGAGGAGGTTTTAAAGGTAAGCCAGACAGGGCTAGTGAGCAACAGGTGTATGTGGTTTAGTTCAGTCAGGGCAGAGTCAAGATCGAGCTGGTGAGGGTGGAAGGGGCTTCAAAATAAAAGTTCTAAAATAGTGGCCACAGACTCATGACACAAACATATTTTTACATTTAATCAAGATCAGGGTCTTGATTAAATATTTAAAAAAGTCAATCATGACTTGAATTAGAGGACAAAGAGTTTATTGTGCTAATATTTGAGCAAAACCCACAGTCTTCAGTTCTTGTTTGATAATCAGCTTTGTTAATTCATATTAGTGCAAATGATAATTCTATGACCATTGAATA